TTCTGAACAAACAGAGCAGGACACACATTTGCTGCTATTATTCACACTGACACATTGTGCTGCCTGTCCACTCCGCAGGCCATGCAAAGCACCGCCAAGCAGTGAGCAACATCTGGGCTACCACACACCTACAACCCCAAATCACGACAGCTTGTGTGTTTAATTCTAGCCCTTACTGTCCTGATGTGGGTCTTTAAGGTATGTCAAGTTGTTTTTTTCAGTTCCTTTAAGAGATGAATATATTTAAAGAGTAAAACCTAGCGATTTGAAGATAACACTAGGGAACTGGAACCTCTCATTCAGTCCCAGCTCTAGGACATTCCTTTCGTGACTCTGGGCAAGTGACTTCACATCTCATCCTTGATTTCCTTTTTCCAGAAAAGACAAACAGCACCTGCTATAAGAAGAACATGTTTGCAGATGCAAAGTGCTTCCTACGCTGTACATAGCACTAAAAACTACTCTCAGACAGACTGAATTCCCAGACCAATCATTTTTATTGCAGTAGCTATGATTTCTAGGTCAACCAGAATACAGAGGTATTGACCGAACAGGACAGGAATTCCAGGAAGAGGTCCAGCTGCTTTTTACTATCTTTTGTTCCCAAATTAAAAGACAGAATTTGCAATTAACAAGTTGCCCATCGCTGTTTGTTTAAAATACAGGAATCTCCAAATTACCGGAGTATGAGGAAGGACGTGTGTCCTAGATGACATTCCAAGGTCTGCAGAAAGGCTAAACAAACTGTTTGTTTGCTATATACAGGTCTTCAAACCTGGAAGATGTGAATCCAAAGTTTGCCCTTAGCCACGATCCTCCCTTAGCAGCAGCAAGTTATATTTGCACCAACTGATCAAGTATAACTTGGAGGAAAGGGTTTTGTTTCATCACTTCTACGTAAAGACTTTGCATATACACGTGCATGCGTGTCTGTGTGTATATGTATGTACCTACACACACACGAGTAATTTACAGAGCAAAAACTAAGAGATTAGGTAGGCAACCCAAGGATTTTCCCCCCTCACCTATTTGTATATTTGCATAGTTAAATCATATCAAGGCATCAATACTGCAGTCACATTTTTCACTCTTCTGAGGTGCAGGCAACTTTTCTTGTCACTCCCTACATGCTTCTCTGTCTTGGACCAAACAGCACCAGTGCTTTAAAAACGAAACGAACCAACAACAGAAACCCTGCACTGTTGGTGAAATGCCCATCCCACATGATGGCATACGGATACAAATAGGTGCTAGCTTTTAAACTCCATCTCAACAAGCCACAAATTGTGGCACGCCGAGAAACACGGGCAGTACAATCACAACCTAAAATTCATGGGTTCAACACTTGAATCACGACTAACGCAAATCTCTATTACCTTTGCATTTGAGAAACTCACCAGGCACAGGAACAGGCACATATCTTCAACTTTCCTTTTCCAAGTAGGAAAACCCATGGGAGAAGGAAAGAAACTGTATTTCATAAGAAAGCTTGCATGTTACCCACAACATTTTGTTTTCCCGTCAAAATTATACCACCCATCATCCCCTTCTCCTATTGCACATTCTCTTGGTGAAGAACAACATTTACAGTACAAGGCTGAAATCAACATTGCATATTGTAAGTCAACAGTTGAAGGTGTACCATGTAGACAGTAACTGAAACAAGACCCCTTTAATTAGATCAGAGAAGTAATGCAGACATGGTCACGCATCATAATCGCAGGTTGGTCTTTAAACAACCAAATAGTTTCATCCTGTTTAGAATTCAAGACTTTCTAGGTAACAGATGCACTCACCCTGTGCTGAAGAGCGTACAAAAAGGGCAACATCCAGATTGTCACACACTGGGATCTCCCTAGAGAAAGCTGGAAACCAAAGAGGCTTGTACATAACTTGGAGCGTCACCGTTAAGAAAGAATACCAGCAAGAGACTTCAGTTGTGTGCTGCTAAGAACTACCAAGCAGAGGAAAAAAAGGTTCCATTGAAGAAACTGTTCAAAGTAATGCAAATACTCTGGGACCCCCTTGCAATAATGGCACACCACAGGAGTTAGCCGGGATTCGAGAGTATACATGGGGGCAGACTGTTGCCCCGTGAATCACTTTAAACAGAAGGTCTCTAGAAAACTTTGGATATCTGGGTCAGGAACACACAAGGAAAAAGGATAAAGGGCATCTCAATGACGAGAGAAAAAGTTAAATAATTTAAAGTGTTGAGTAAAGCACCAGGTATCTCTTTCTTTCAATTTAGAGAATATACAGTGGCCTTGTTTTCACAAAATGCTACATACTCCTTGCTGGAAAGCAGAGGAAACCGATTTCTATGTACACAGTAAGAACTCTACAGAGATGGCCCGCGAGTTCTGCGGAGAAAGGGGTGTTACAGTCAAGGCTTCAGGTATTCCACAGCAGGCGGTGTCTACGTTTGTGTAGCAAGATCCTGGATTTCACAGTACGCAGGGTTGGCAAACTGGAAATTCTCTGGCAGCTTCATGTAGTTTTAAAAAATAAGTGCAGTAGGCCACCTTTTTATTAACTGTGATAAAAAGCATATATGCAAAAATATTTTTATATCGATAGCACATTACTGCATTATAAAAGCTGCCCAAGTGAAGCTGAAGATTCTGGCAGCTGGTGCTTTTGGCACTTGGGAGATGTGGAAAGCAGCATAGAGATCTGTGAAATACAACAGTGACTGATGTTTCTGCTACAGTGATCGGCATTAATATAGTCAGCAGTGTTCATATTTAAACTTCTCTATGAAGTTTCTGAGTCAATATCCCACCAAGAGGAGATATTCAGATCTCTTAAAGCTACTAGTTTAGGCTGTGTGCAGACTCAGGAAGACTTCCCTATTAGTTTACACTTTTCACATGTTTCAAAGTCCTCTTTCAATCATAAAGGCTGGAAACTCTTTTTTCCTCCTCTTTTAAAGAGCCTGGATTTAGAAGCGCAATTCTGTCACAGGAGTTGGAAACTGTTGTCACAAATCTGCAGAATGTGCTGGGCCCTGCTTATACTAGAAATCTCCTCCAAGTCCCAGATTGAAACAGGATAAAAACTGTTTTGAGATGGCCAAACGTTTTCGTTTAAGTTTACAAGACATGCATTAGCAATGGGAGGAGAGTCCTTTGGACATTTCCACTTGGGAATCCTGTTTTCAGTAAAATTCTGTGATGCACAAACACAAAAGCTCAGCTGCCTACATTCACAATTATTAAAATGACACAAGTAGAGCGAACCTTCGCCCTAAAGCGTAAGTGATGGGTTTGCTTATGCGGCCTGCATAAAACTGCAAGTGCCATATAATTATATCTAGAGATATAGATGCAGGTATATCTATAGATATTTATCTCTTGTGCAGAACGTCCTCCTTCTGTGCTAGAAATGAAACACTAGCACATGCCTCCATATCTGAGCTTGCACCTGTTGACAGCTATGTACCATAAAGGGAGTACAGTACCTGGACAATGGAAGGCAAGAAAAGGAAGACAAGTTGCTGCTGACGGTTGCGACGGTCAGCAGCAGGCAGTATTCTAGCAGGTGCCTGGAAAACCCATGAAGACCACTTAGCATGCATTGTATATTCATAAATACTTCTTGCAGGCACTGTGTGTGAAGGCACAGCCAAAAAAGACAACAGCAAAGACAAGTTGAAATACAAAGGCATGAATTCAACTGCACCTTAGACAAAAATTGTGACTACGCCTCAAAAAGCAGAAAACTGATACAACCTGACGTTAAAGGCTGAGATGCAACGTTTTCTTTCAAGCCCGCAATGGCTAAAAACATAGTGGTGCAAGTCCGTTCTGCTTAAGCAGTTCTTGGATTTTAAAGAGCACCACAGTCAGGCTGTGTCTCTAGACTTGCTTGTCACAGGCTATTAAATAGAAGCAGATGAACACAGCAGGTTGCAATCAGCATGTTTCAGGGCTAGCAAATGCTTTCCACTGCAGTTCAGGCTGTTGTAAGGAAGAAGCCCGTGCATTCCGTTAGGATGCTTGGCTGCCATGAAAAGCGGTCATGAGCATATACATTCACAGCCCCACAGAGTTCTCAGATGGGTCCATTTCAAGTGATGCCACCTTACAACCACAGGCATTAGAGGAAAAATGTCACCTGCCTTCACAGTGGCCATGGAGACTGTCTAATCCAAGCTCCATAGGAGCACTGAGCATAACGTTTTGGCACCTGAATGAGATGGATTTCACCACGGCCAAGTCATAGAAGCTCCAGAAGCCAAAGAAACAGGCTTTGGTTTCTGTTTTGTACATGGCAAGGTACCTAAGGGCTCTGAAGACAAGGCTAAACATTATGCCTGAAGTCCAATTAAACTACCATTTCAGATATCAGAATTAATCTGAATAAAAAGCTATGGTTCATAAGCGGCACAGCACATCTAAGGCACATGTATGCATGCAAGCCACCATCACTGTATTTGTCCTCAAGAAGCAATGGCTGCTAGTACAGAACAAACATATAGGCTTTTTTCAGCACTAATCCTCCTCCCCAATACTGAAAATACTATATACTGCTGACAGCATAATGTGCAACATATATAGCTTGATTGGAAAGCATGGGGCAGAACTTTAAAAAATGTACAGGATTCCGTTTAGAACTCCAAAGTTCAACAAATGCCCTATTTTAGGGTGAAAACAATTATAAATCTGATAATGATGCACAGCATCCATGAGTGATTTTTCCTTAATTTTGAAATAGTGTCATTAACTACGACATATATTGTAGGTTTACATTTCTAAAGAGAAATAACAGAATTGAATAGTTTTTTTTCCTATCACAAGTGATAACCAGTGTTTGATATCTTCTATTTTTCTTCCAAGAAATATCAGTCTATCAACAGTTTTAAAATAAAATGTTTTCTGTAACAATAGAACTTTAAATAAAAATATGATTTTGATTCAGGTACTTTTGAGAAGACACGGATACTTTTCCAAGATCTTCTGACAAAGTAATTATTAAAACAGAGACCAGATGAGGCCTTAAAAAGACAATATACTATATTTCAGACAAGATTGCACCTCAGTTTTTCAAATAATATAATTGCAACATTACTTCATCATTTCTTCTTTTAACATGCTGACAATTTCCAGCTAGCCCACGTGTGACTTTTTTTTTGTTTTTGTATTCTAGCTTAAAGAAATAAGAGTCAGTAATTTATTCAGCACATACTGTATATGTCTTTTCACCTCCAATTGACTAGATCATTAATAAGTTAAAAAAAAAAAATTCCTCTCTGACCATAATCCTTATCCTCATGAGGGATAAGTGATTCTTCAGAGATTAAGTGTTGCTAGTTCTATTAAAAAATATACCATGGTATGATTTCTTAATGTGTTGCTACTTTCGCAATTGGACCCTATGCAGTTATGCCTTCAAACTCTTCCGTCTGTTCCACAAGGTGGTTCTGTGAGCTTTAGGACCTCTGATTGAAGACAAACTGATATAAAACCCCCAAACGGAGTTGCCTTCTCTTTAATCCACCTCCCCCATTGTATGTCAGGGGTCTGGTAGATCCGATGTATCCACTATGACTTTAATAAAAATAGTATCATCTTTAATATACGTTCCATTCTCTAGAACAGTTTGGGCCACAAAGACTGGGCAGCCAGATGCAATGTTCATTTCTCCAGTTGGCTTCTTGAAACTGCTGCTGTTTGGATCCGGCTTGAAAGCATCTCCTAAGTGGCGTCGAGACGGTCCCTGATCCATTAGCATGAGAGTCACTTTCTGTTTAAACGGCCAAGGAAGCAATGCATCGTATTCTCCACGCATTATGACAAAGAACAGCGACAAGTGCGTCCCCTTTCCCATGCCATCTCCGTTAAGGTAAACTCTGGCACACATCTTGTAGCCGAAGTATCCAGTATAAAAGGGTTGGCTGTACAAGGACAGAGTCTTCCCCATGACTGCCTCTTGCTTCCGACGTTTATAATCTCGAATTTTCCAAATTAATACTCCGTTGTAACTGGCGGTTTCTAAAACTTGGAATCGGAGGTCCATGTCAGCCAGTCGAATATCATGAACACTCAGCATCTGATCATGTCTACTCAGCTGTGTCTCTAGCAGGGCTGTCAGAAAATGGAAAGGACAAGGGTGAGAAGAGTGTTTTTTTCTAAAGACTGTAAAAAATCAATTGCCAATGCTGCTATTGTATATGAAAACATTTTCCTCTCCAAGAACGAAAGTGCATTCAGTCACCAATGAAGCAATTTCCATAGACAATACATTGCCAGCTAGTATCTAGGTTAAATGGGATTTTTACAAACGTGTGTTTATGGCTATCACCCAGCTGGCTTGTAATTACCTAATTAAGGTTTAGACCCTGCCTACAAAAGGCGGGCCATTTCCTCCTGGCTATGGAAGACACAATGACATCCTTGGAGCCACAGCCTAGGCTGGTGAGCAACATCTGGTGACCCTGATGTGATACCCTCATGAGAGACCCTGAAGACTGCGACCCTGACTCCCTCGCCGGAGCCAGAGCCAAAAGAGCTGGAGCGAGAAGTCCTTCGACAAAGAAGGTAAAGCTGATACCCCAAAAGAGGGAAGTGTGCGGAGTTGGAATGAATGAATTTGGTCTCTGCTCACCGTAAAGCCTTCGTGAAAACCAAAAAAAACTGTAAAACAAAAAGGGGGAATTATGGCTATCACCCAGCTGGCTTCTAATTACCTAATTAAGGTTTAGGCCCTGCCTACAAAAGGCAGGCACTTCCTCCTGGCTGCAGAAGATGCAACGACATCCTTGGAGCCACAGCCTGGGCTGGTGAGCAACACATGTTAATGACACATGCAGTAAAAGTCAAATAATCAAATCATTAAACATAATTTTTTTCTGGTTGCTAAGCAATATAACTACAGAGGCTTCCATTTTTTGAGAGGAGACTTGGTAGCATTATCTGTAGATCGCTATAAGAAGTGAAGACCTTGGAAGTGGTCACACATCCTACATAATCCCTCTGAAATTCAGAAGCGCTGCTGATGACTCAAAATTTTCTTCTCAGACACTGCTTGTTTCAGAAGTGTAGAGCTGTTACCTTCTCTAAAGTTTATCATAAAAGAACAGAAAATTTAAGCTTAGCTCGGCATTATATGGTCTCTTAGTTTGGAGGGAGGGCTGTCTTTAATGTCCTCCTTCCCTCACATGAACACGTTACTCTGTCTTTGCACACTGGCAAAACTGGCCAACATACAATCCTGAGAAGGAAATGAATTCATAAGGCAGGTTTGTTTTTCACAGATCTATTTAAACATTAAGTTCTTTGTTCCAGTCATTTAAACACTTACAAAAACTTCTACGCTATCTTGCTAAAATCCAGTTTTTACTTTATTCAGCAAGCACGACAACCTTATTCTCAAGCAGCTCTCAGTTTTATTCGGATCAAATATACCTCTGTAACAGGTATCAGAATAGGTGGTTTCAGGTGGATAACCGTATTGTTGATCCATTCATGAGGGAGAAGAGTGATAAAAGAAGACTTGTCAATATACAGAGACTATATTTAAAGAAGCTGCTGAAAGCTATTAGCTGTCAAAGATCAGTTGAGAAACTATTTATAACGAACTAACATTGTAATCAAGACAGGTCAAAACCACAAAATAAAGGACAAGAATCAAGCCTAAGAGACAGTGTGGAAGCAATGCCACATGAAAGGGAATACACGGTTTCCTATTCAAAAATCAGAAGAATCAGCATTATTGATGCTTCCACATAAAAATCACAATGGGAGTGCCATTCAAAGGACATAATTTTCTCTTGACAGTGCTGCCGAGTTACTTCAGTCCATTGTGCTTACACTTACTTGTATTTCGAGCTCCTTGTCCTGCAGTTTTATCAACACTTTCCAGCTCAGTCACTCTGTTCTGGAGGGATTCTACACTGCTCTTCATGCTGTCAGCCTCCTCCCAGTTCTGTCGGAAGGGACGGATTTCTTTGTCCAGTTCTTTCAGTTTCTCTGCTTGGCTGTCTATCACTCGCTTTATAAAACAACAAGTTATGAGTTAAAGTAATAAAAAAGACATTAATTTATGCAAATTATACAAAGATTATATACCAATAATAAGATGCAGTTTCAACATAAACAAGTTTCACTTACGTCAAATATTTTAATAACACAAACCTTGAAAATGTCGAGGAGTACCCCAAGTATATATAAAAGACTTATAAAAAAATCTTTAGTGCTGCATAGGTATTAATATTAGAGCACTACCAGAATTATCAACATGATTATTTTAAAAAAAGGAATTGTTGGTGTGCTCTCTTCTAAAATTTCTTTTAAAAACCTTTCAATGCAAGAACAATATTCTGAATGTCTCTCTATTGATATCATAGGTGATATTTGTGTAGTTTCATGTCAGAGTACTTAAGCAATGAAGCATGGGCACAACAACTTACCATGGTGTGAATCAAGTGGCTGCTCATGTGGATGTGCTTATTGGTGGGTAACAGCAAAATAACTTACTCCTCCAGAAAAACATCAGTACTGTTGCACACATGAAGCAGGAGTACATATATGTGCAGATACAGCAGCATTAGCAAGCTCCAAGCTCACATAACTTAAGCTTTGATAACTGATTTATTATGTGCCCATAACTATAGCACAAGTCCTCAACAGTGTAAGCAAAACTACCACTTCTGACCCCTTAAGGACTTTAAAAATTCCAACCCTTACTTCCCAAATTGAATAAGCCACACGTCCTGAAGGTGCTTGCTGGTTGAGTCTTTTTAAGAAAACAAGGAAAAGAAATCAAAACATTTTATTTTGGAAAGGCATGAAATGTAATACTCAAGGAAAAAAAAAAATGCATAGAAAGGCTGGTATTCTCCAAGAGAGGGACATTGCAAACACGTCAGTACATTACAAACATAAAGGAGAACATATTTCCCAGTCTACCTCAAATCTGATGCAAGAAATACATAGTACTGTACGTTATCACAGCTAATTTGGAACTAGCAGGAATTTTAGCCAGAACCCCATAATCAATTGTGAAGTTCAAATGATAACACAAGTACTTGAGACAAGAAACTACTTTTGCTACCACCTACAGTTAAATTCCAAATCTAACTTTATGGTTTATCATCATATAGTGCCAACATGTGTAAAAGTGATTTTTCACTTCTTAAAAAAAGTAGCAGTTGAGTACGAAACAAGAAAATAAAGTTATTTTGTATTTGCCTTCTGGTTAGCCATGTGGATTTAGTATTCCCCACTGATGGGGAAAACCCTTCTGCCTCGTGCAACCTTCATTTCCCCTTTTAGGCATTTGCTTTTAATCACGTGGTTTCAGTTATACTGGAAGTCTGTAACAATTAATTGAAGGCTGTCAGTTTGATAAACCAGCTAGCAAAATCATGTTCTAGGAGTGGTTTGTTTTTTTTGTAGTGTCTCAAAATCACTGAGTATTTTGAGATTAACTATTTATTTCTATGTTGGTGTTTTAAAACAAGCTTATATATCTCCCTTGCAAAATTACAATTTTGTGAAGGAAAGTTGTGTCGTGAATCATAAATGCAGGGGCATGGTCCTATTAAATAGATTCAGCAAATTGCCTGGATGTACTAATCATCAGCTATCAACACAGTCACACCCTCTCACTTGGACTGATGATAATCAGAAAATAAAACAGGAAAGGGCTGTTAGCTGTACATGTAAAAGGAAACACACCATGGAATGGCCTAAATGTTTTAAGAGCAGAGCCTCAAGATTTGGCCACTACTTCACAGCGAACATGCAAAAGTAAACTCAAGGTGTGCCCACATCTGATCTCTTTACTCACAGAAAACATGAACTCTCCAAGGCAAGAACTGTACCAGGGTCGTGGGTTTGTACAGTGCCTCACACAGAGACGCTCTAAGTTCCAACCGGGACCCCTTGGCACTAACGCAGTATCAAACAAAATGAATAAATGTATTTTTAAATTAATTGGGAAAGTGGTAACAATGCAGAAGAATTTTAAGTTATTCTTTTGGGAGAAATCTACTAAAATTAGTTACTAAAGACCAACTGTGTGCAACATTCTACCTTTGTACACGCACAACCGATCCTGTTTTTTAGCTGCTTTTACCACACATCAACAAATGTGTATTTTTTTATCTCCTGTACCTCTTCATAAGAATTCAAGAGATACAGAATAATCAGAAATAGACTTGTAGTCTGTTTTTAAAAAGCGATGGGATCTCTATCTTTTTACCCTACAGGGAGTCAACCTCCCTCACAATGGGAGACACTGATATACTAAATCTGAATTTAATGCAGCAGTGGAGAATTCCACTCTAATTATTCCATTAGAAAGCACACAGATGTCTCACACTGTACTCATAAATTTTCAAGTAGATATCAATTTTCCACATGCACTTTTTATTCCAGCAACTGACCTCTCCAGATCATTAATCCAGAGTTATATGCCTAGGAAGCCATTATGGGCTCTTCTTGATGCCGATTTTCATCCAGGTTTTGTTTGGTATTTCTAACAAACAATTTCCATAATTTTAGCACTATTATTACTAAAAGAATTTAGAAAATGTCATGATGATCTGAAGAAAGTTATATTCACTGTTGTCTCTCTCTCAGATGCTCCTAATGGACCTTTCCGTTGCAACTGATAGAGCAAAAGTGAAAAGCTAAACACACTAGAAAAGGAACCAAAGACACTACTTGACTGGGAAAACAAATCTGACATCCTCCTCCTTTGAAGGAATGTATTACCAATCAAATAATTTTATATTCATAAGGTCATTGTTTATTTTGTCTTTAAGTACCTCATGTCCACACTCAGCTTAAGACTTGGCTTACTAATATGTTCCATATACTCATCAGAAAGACTGGATACTGGATGTGAAAGTTCCTTTCCACAAGACAGCAGCCAAAAAAGCATCACATACTCTCTTGGTAAAAACACCTTCCCTACAGACCAGCATATAGAAAACTAATCTGAATCAAAACGTCTCAAGGTCGAGGTTCCTGCCATGCCCAGACACCTCTGATGCATTTACACTCGTTGAGTTGAATATCTCACAGCGCAGATGACGCCAGCTGCACTCAGTGAAACAGCTGCTCCCAAGCCAAAGAAGGTTACACGACAGCTAATACTGAAACTGTACTAGAAATTACCAGCATACATAGGACTTGGGGGACTGAGCAAATAACGCTTGTCCAGACCTGAACTAGCTACTTCTACACTGGAAGTAACTGTGGCACTTGTATAGCCATGGCTGCTCAGTGCGACGTAGAAAAAGAATGGCTCACAACAGGTAACTAATTCCTTCAACCCTTAGCAGGCAACAGAAGGAGACCAATCACATTGTCCAGGGAAAAAAGAAATTGAGGTGTGTTTCCAGGATGTCCTTAACAACCTGTCTGAATCGGGAAGTTCCAATAAGTGGAGAAAAATCAGGTTGAAACACCTGTAAAATACCACTCGGCTTAAAACAACTGAACTAAAATCGCTGGTGAGA